TGTTCTTATGCAATATGAACCGATTGATGAAATGTACCATGCTAATGTATGTTAAATGCATCTGGTATATTGTCTAATCTGCAGTTTGTGCTCTCTTTCAAAGGCTCTAGCGGTATGTTTTCCAGCACGTGGGTATTTCTCTATTATGTAAGCACTAGTAAACGTAGACCTGCTCATTTTTCACGAAACAAAAAGTTATTGAATAAATGTAGATCGGTGTCTTTTTTCAAAGTACTCTCAACAGAATAAGTGAGCTAAGTTGAGAAAAATATGCAGGCATTCACAGTGAGATTCGGAGATTCGTAATAAGCGACTGAGATATAGGATGGATACCGAGAGAAAAATTTGGTTTACCTCTTTCGAGTATTCATATGCCTGATGTTCCATTTTATCAAGAAAAATTACGTACTTCGATGGATAGGTGAGAGATAGTGACTGACATTTGATCTGATTTATATAAATATAGATAATTGTTTCTATTTTTAACAAGATATTTTATGAAACTGAAAGAAGAAAGTCCAGTTCAGAGAGCAAATTGGTCTTGTACGTGCATAAGTATTTCAATATTTTTCTTCTTCATGTCAATTTTAATACTATTTATAGTACAAATTGATGACATTCTGTCAAAAAACTGTCACTTTCACAACGTTTCAAAAGTCGATGAAAATATTACATCCGAGAATGCTGGTGATATTGTACATCTCCGAGTCGAACGTCAAACTTTACGACGCCTTCCAAAATCGAAAGATATTCTATTTACAATCAAAACATATCTGACGCCGATGGCTGAAATTGTCAAAGATGTTGATGTAGCGAAGCGACTTGCTTCAGCTATTAGGAATTGGCCACCAGAAGTGATACACTATAAGGTGAGACAAGAATCATCATATGCATTATTTTGATGTTAAGACCTTTGTCTGTTTGTTACAGAGTGCCAAATCTTATAAAGATCCGTTATTGAAATATTTGGACAAAGTCACTGATGCAAAACTGTGATACACTGTTAGACTTTATCTTTCTCTGTAGGTAAAGTTTCATATCATTCCCATAAAATATTTTTATGAAACATTTTTGCTTTTTTTGTGTATTTTTAATTTGGTTTGAATAAAAATTTTAACTTAGTTTAGTACGTTTAATAGTGATTGCGTGAAGATATGATAGATTTGGATTAATATCTCAATACATTTTCACCTGAAATTTTTATAGAAACCGTTAGATGGTACTTTTGTATATCAGAGGAGTTGAATCAGTTTACATTCCTACTTACATTCTATGCTAGAAACTGATCAAGTTAACGGCAAATATAAATAGAAGCAAGTTTTTAATAACACACTTTGACAATTCTTTCTCGTACTAAGGTTGGTTAATTCTTTCTGTCGTGCAATATTTTTTGAATGTGCTGTATTGTATATGTGTGTGTGTATATGCTATTATTTGAAGACTGAAATGAAGTCGTTTCTCAATATAGTTTATTTTTTAAACAATTATAAAAAGAAAAAAATTGTAAAAAACAGGAAAGAGAGAAATAAGATATGAACACGAAAGAAGAAGGCTATGTAACAACAGGAGGTACTGTTTATAGAAAAATGTCAACCAAATACTGAGTTTCTGAGTCTACATCATTCAGAATTGAGTAGGTGGTTATTTGTTCACAACGAAGTATAACACTTGCTTACTGTGATCTGGACGGTAAAAAAAACAACACGTATTGCAAATAATGTAGTAAAAAATATTTATTAAAAAAGAACTATTTATTTTTGTAATAATAATGCTACGCCACCTAAAACCCATTTGTTTGGTTTTTCCTTTGTTTTCAAGAAAAATGTCCAAACAAAATGAGCTCCTCTTGTTTTAATTTTGTATACCGGACATTCGTACATGCCTTTAGTTTCCATTCGATCAACTGGTACAGCTTTGACAAAAATAATTGGCATAGGAGAAGTAATCTCTTTTAATTTTGCTTCTGCTATTTGACCTGTTTGTGAATCCCATCTTGCTCCTTCCATACACAATCCCCAAATGTATGCTCCTTCTCTTGGTGCTCCACCTAATTCATCTTTTGTTCGTTTTGTAATATCTACACTCAGACACATACGATCCAGGGGCCATTCATTTTTACGTGCGGTTGTTTGCATAATTGCAGTTAAAAATGATTGCGGATTGAATAAATAACCTAAAAGAAGAAGGTCTTTGTTCAAAAGTAATCATGACTAATGCGTCCTTATTTTACAAACCTAATGTGACTGCATATGGCAACTGAAAATCACTTGTCCATGATTCTAAATCTTTAAACCGATTTAATAAATCAACAAACCATGAACTTAACGGCAATAACATTGGATAAGCACGTAGTTCCCAAGACTTTGGAACTTGATCGAGATAGAGAGATTCTTGTAATGCTTCCATGTCAGACGTCACAGTCAGTTCACCCTAAAATAAAATTCTCTGACTCATAGAAGTAATGATGCTGATAGATTTGAGCACCTAACCTTTAAACCAGAATCTAATTCTTTTAGCGATCGTCGCATTTCTTTCAGCAACATATTCATTCTTTCACATTCTTGTAAGGCAACGACAGTATACGGAGATTTTTCTTCAGTTTTAGCAAATAATTCTGGCATAAGGAACTCGTCTGGTAAACGACTCATAATATCATCTAGGACTAATTTAATCTATAAAATAAAAATATGACTAAATGACATATTGTTTAATGTTGGCTGGAGAATTTTTACTTTTTCTTCACGACTAGTCACAATACTACCATCACTTGCACCTAAACTTGTGTCTCTTGGTTGCATTTCAAGGACAGTTTTGAATAGATTTTCAGATGTTGTTGTTAAAAAGTCAATTTCAGCATTTGGATGTAAACCATACAAATTTGGACTTTCAGCTGGTAAAAATTCGTCGATGTATTGATGATAGCCCTTGTAATCTGTATTTGGAGGTATCTGGAATCCTGGTGCCAAATAGAGATCTCCATCAAACTAAATAAACAAAAAAATATGATAAAATAAGTTAAATGGTAATCTGTGAAACATACCATATCTGGATTAATGTAGGTCTCAAGATAATTTCGACATAATCGACGATCCCAATCATCCGTTATGTGACCACCATACCTAAACAAATGGAAATATCTGTGATATATGTTTTACCCAGAGTGTAGTGATTATTACATAATTTCGCCAAACAAATATCTTAAGTCTTCCCAAGGCACTTTACTGTTTTCTTCCAAATAGTTATATAAAACGTCTACACTGATTGTCAAATCACCATTATTGAATGGATATCGTCTAAATAATGAATAATATAAGAAGTGTGTGAGAAACATCAAACTCTAACCTATTCCATCCAATAGGTCCAAATTTTCTTCTTTCAGCAACCACGGCATGAAAATAACATAGTGCAAATAAAATTGATTTAAATTCATTTTCTTTTGAACATCGTTCAAGGGTATCTTGATCAAAATTGTCTAATGCTTTATGCAGATTAGCATACATTCCTAAAATAAACGAGCAATAATTGAATGAATGGTATTTTCTTCTAGACGAAATAATCTGTATCCTACCCGTTGGGGCTTCGTTTGTAATCTTTATTGCTGATTCCAGAATTCCTTGAGGAATAGCCTAAAATGATATAAATTGTTTGCGTTTTCTTTATTCAATTGAATTTGTCTACTTACATGTCCTTCTGGTTCAGGAGCTGGTTCAGCTGAAAGAAATACTCTAAATTCTTCGCTGGCTATCTCAGCAGTTTGCTCAAGTTTCTTTTCTAATGCCGGAAGCCATCGAGAGACTAGATGGATATTTTGTAACACGATCCAGTGGCCCTCTACTGAGCCGATGTCTAGAGCTTTTTCGGCAACAACATCTTGACCTAAGCGGTAAAAATAGAACATATTATAATATGCATATAATATTAGACTAGGAGATGCTAGCAAACCTTGTCCAAGTGATATATTATGAAATTTTCCATTATCAGTCGTTAATCCAAGTTTTCTTCCTAAACTTTCAACTTCTTTCAATGGGTCAACACCAGGTGATAAAATAAAAAATATGGGTGTTGCTTTTGTTGTCTCTTCAAATGATCGAGAAAATTCTATAGTACGATTTTCTACATATTTTCTACCAAGTTTTTCTTCGACAAATAAACTTAATAAATAGATAAACAATTGATAAAAATTCAAATAATTTTAAAATGTATACATACCTTAATGCATAAAGCATTCTATCTGGTCTTAATGCTCTCATCATACATAATTTTTGTAAGGCACTTTTATTTTTCCATTCTTGTGGAAATTTTTCTTTTTCAGGCGATTCACTCTCAACAAATTTTTTCCAACGTTTTGCTGATCCTAAAAAAAAATAGAAGATACTATGAGATTAATAAAATAAAATTATTGATGAATATGTTATACCTTCAATATCACGATCAAGATTATTAAATTCTTCCATTGTTGATAATGCTTTTATTCCTCCCCATGAAAAATCATTCAAAAAATCAACAGGACTCACTAGATTGGGAACGACTGGATAACGAAGTAAAAATTCTAATTCTTTTAATTCAATTTCCCTATTATTTAGTAAAATTTGAAACACCATTTGAGATGTAAAAATAAGTTTATGTTGTTCAAATAGACCACGAGTAGTATAAATAGATGTACTATACGTAATAGAATCAATCTAAATATAACATATATTATTTTAATTGTGTATAGAAGAAAGATAAATACTTTTCTTGGAATAAAAATATTGATATGACTATTTTAACTTACCAGATTTAATACACGTTGTTTAACATCTTCACTTGTTTCTGACTTTTGTATAGCTTTTACAAACACAATTTTGAATGCTATAAAACAAAAAATAATGTTGTACGATAAATATCTTGATTCTCTTTATGGTAAAAGAGACTGAATATCTTTATCTTTCATTAAAATTATTCGAGTCTTTTTTTTAATTTTATATAAGATATGAAACGAATCTATTTTCATTTACATACCTTTTAATGAAAATTGATACATTGGATGAATTTTTCGTAAATCATTCATAATAAAATAGAGTAAACTTGCACGAGTTGCTGCTGGACGATAGACTTCTCGTGTTTTATCAATTTGTTCACTTGTTTTTTCAGCTTCATTTTTCTTTGCTGTTCAAAAAAGAAAAGAAAATTAAATTATTTGATAAAAATTAATATTATAGTATATGAATTACCTTCAATTTCAATTGCAGTACTTTTAGTTTTTTCTAAATTTTCGACAAGAGCAACATCACTAAGAAAATTGCCTTTAGCTGCAGCTAGACGTGCTAATAGAGAATCTTCCAATTTTTTTAAATGAATTTTATATTCATTTTTCTGTCTTGTTAATTCATATTTGCTCTTTTCAAGATCTGGACGTTCCTAAAGAAAAACAAAAAAGATTGTAAATTAATATTTTGTTCAAAAATATATTCTTGAAATAATTCTTACAAGAGCTACAACATCGGCTAACAATTGATCTTCTAAACCGTCTCTTGTTACTGTAAAATTAATTAATGTTGTTTGAGCTTGCATTTCAGGTTTATAATGTGGATTAGCTATAATTAAATAATCATAATAAATAATATATCTTATTTATATAATTTTAATAAATTACCTAATTTTGTTTGTAGAATAAGTCTGAAGTCTGGATGATATTCAATTTCTTTATCACCAACTCGAATTGCTCGACCTTTTCGTATTGTATTACGACCAATTAGAGGATCGAGAATGGCTTCGATTCCTATAGCATAAGAAAAACAAGTAAAACGTAAGTTAATTAATGATATATACAATCTTATACCTTCTTCAATATTTTCTAGTAATAATGTTTCTCCTGATGATATGGCATGTTCAATTTTTTCCATATATCCTTTTGCTCCGAGTCGAACAATAACAAGTTTATCACCAAATCGATTACGAATCCATTTAACACCTATAGGAAAAAACAAATATTAGATTATTTCGATAGTTCATTTTTTTTTCTAATTTAACTACCTTGCAATTGTGGATCAATCATCAGTGGCCTAAAATCAATAAAGTTCATATATTCTTACAAATGAATATAAAATAATAAAACTAATATACTTACCAACGCTCACAATTTGTTAAAATCGTTGCATTTTCGTATGACATTCGATCTGCTGGTAATCCTTCATTATTCCAAGCAGCCATATCAGCATCATCAATAAGCATCGATAATGGATCAAAATTTTCGACTACTGGTATTGGTGTCTAAATAGAACAATTATCAATAATAAATGATCATAAAAATAAATAATAAAATAATTTACTTTCAATCCTTTTAAAAATGGCATCCATCGTCTATATAATAATTCTTCTCGATAATATTTAGTAAAATATCCTACATATGATAAATAAGCTGTTGTTACTAGTACATTTCCTGGAAGAAATTTTCCCATAATTTGAAATTGTTGAATTGTATTTGTCCATCGTTCTTTTTCTGATGCTAATCCACCTACGAGACGATTTGCTAAATTTATTGTGTATGCTGTTTGATCGGCTTCTTTTTGACAACGTTCTTTATCATCCATGGCTGATTGATATTGTTCTGTAAGTAATTGTAATGTGGCTTGTAAACGTGCTAATTTTGCTTGTGTTGCATTAAATTGTTCTTCCGTTGCTTTTAATTCGGTTGTTGCTTGTTCAGCTGCTTGACGTTTTGGTTCAACATCACAATAGACACGATAATATGAAACAATATTTCTTGCCCATTCACACAAGCCTGCAGCAGCAAATGACACTCGTTTTATAGCTTCTTGATTAAATTCGGGATCCCGTAAATATTCTTCAACAGCTGTTAACGATGTAGCTATAGAAAAATAAAATAAAATTGATATATGAAAGAGTTTCATTAATGATGTACTATAAATTCTACCAGGTATGTTATTTTTGTCATAATTCAATAATTGATTTAAAAATGCTCCCACTTCTCCAATCATTGTTTTTGCTGCTCTCCAAGAACGATCTCGTGGTACTTTACCTAAATTTAATAGAATATTTATAAATATAATAGTTTTACCGTACATAATTTATATTCATACCTGGAGGAGCTAATAGTACTTGAACGGCTGATGTTACTTTTAAGATAGCAGCTGGTGGAGTTGGAAATGATTTTAATTCAGTTAAATTAGTACGATTTAATGTATTTAAAGCATCATCAGCTGCTTTTAACGCTGGTAACGCTTTTTGTAAATCACGATCACATTCGGCTTGTTTTTCTGTTACACGTTGTTTTTTTTCAATAACTTCTTTTTCTTCGATAGCCGCACTTTCACGTTGTTCTGTAACTTTTTTTGTTTCACTTTCAACAACTTTAATTAAACGATCGGCTTCATCATTCTTTTTTGTTACTTCAACTTCTTGTATTTTTAATTGTTCTTTAAGTTTAGCTGTTTGATCTGCCACTCTATTAAAAGAAAATGAAATATTATTTTTATTTTATTTTATTTTTCAATAATTAAAATTATTACGTACGATTCAAGTTTGACTAAACCATTTTCTAATCTAAGAATACCATCTTCATGTTCACGTCGTTTTGTTTGTAATAAACTTCTATATAAATTAATTTGTTCTAAAAATGATTTTGGTGTTGTATAATTGAATCGTCTTTCATTTGTCAAATATTGTACACTCATTTCATTTACTGAACTATGAACATAAGCCATAAATTGAGCTACAGAATCATAATATTCTTTTGGAATACTTTCAACATCTTGTATAAATTTTTTAGCAACAGAATTTAATGCACTCTCAGGCCATTCATGAAACCAATCAATATTTGTACAATTAACCAAAGCTGGAAATCGTCGTGCACGAATACGAAGTGTCGAACCAACTGGTGAAAAACAGAGAACAATCTAAATAAATATAATTTTTGTATTAATAAATTGAAATAACAAAAAATAAATAAGAAAAAAAATAATAAATACTTTTAAATTTCGTCGAACTTTATCAATAAAAAATTTCCAACAACTTTCTCTTGTTTCTTCAATACCCATTGCTTTAACTTCATTTTTAATACTATTTAAAATTTCTTGTGTTTCATCATCTGTAAATAATCCATTAATTTCACCTGATGCAAGTAAATCATTAATTAATACTAAAAATTTTTCATCGGCTACTTGAGCATCGGTCATTAAAAATACGGTAGGAATATTTTTAATACCAGCTCGAATATACAAATTATTCAAATCCTAAATTTAATAGATAGTAGAAGAAGAAAAAGAAATCTAAAATCTAATGTTTTAAATAAAATTACCTGTTTTAAATCAGATGTTCCATAACCTTTTCGAATAGTAATTTGAAAAACTTCTAATGATGATACGGATGCAGCTAATCTTGATAAACTTTGTTTTCCACTACCACCTAAAAAATATAAAAAATAAAATTAATTTTGTTAATATAAATTATCTTTTTATTATTATTTTTTAAATATTTTTACTAACCTACTCCCACTAATAGAGCATTTCCTCGTGGTGATTCGAGTATACGATTAATACGACATATATGCATAAGAGCATCTTCAAATAAAACTAAATTCATGGCCGCATTCACCTCATTATAGGTGTCAAGTGCATCTTGTAACAATCGAGTTAATTGAGACCAATCGTTAATAGGCATATATTTTGGATCACCAATACCGGTAGAAAAGTGAGTATAGATTAACGGACGTCGAAAACAATATTCTTCATCAACATCCTAAGAAACAACAAAAATAAAAATAAAAATAACAGTAAATTAATGTTATTATTATAGTTTAATGAGAATGAATCGATTATTTACTTGAAAATTTTTTTTGACTGTATCTCGAAATATTTTTTGAAATGAATCAATATCATCAATTGAAACTAATTTGTCACCATAGACTCGTTCTGCTTCATGTACATAAAGTCTTATTAAATCTTGAGTAGTTTTAATACTTTCACCAGTCGTAAATAAAATACCCTAAAGATCAAATGAAAATGATCACTATGATTAAAAATAATTGAAATATAAATTTTATATTACTTGAAATATATTAGATAAATCACGTAAATTAAATATATAATGAAATTTAATAGCTGTTGGTAAAAATGCGGCTGCTACACGTTGATGAACGGCCAATGCTCCTTCAACTAATTGAGGTGCAGAACGTTGAATAGCTTGAGTGAATGGTGCATTATGAGATGTAGCTAGATGTTGAGATAGAATACTGTTGTAAATTGTACGTAATGAATCCTTTAATTTGAAGATATTTATAGTTAGAAAATAATAGAATTTATCATCAGTATTAAACTTACTTGACCCGGAAATGATACAGCAAATACGGCAAAATGTCGTTGAATTCTTGAATCAATTGTAAAATTACCAGCAGTCGGATTCATACATGCAACATATTGACAATTGTGAATATCTCTTAATGTTAATTTTTGTCGATCATACCAATGTTTATAATCAAGATATTGACGTAATATGGTATGTGCTTGTACAGTATAATATTTATCCATTTCAGGCATATTCATATCATCTAAATAACATTATAATATAAATAAAAACATTTCTATTGAAAAGAAAAAAGTGATATTACCAATGAAATAAACGAGTTTTTTGCTTCCAGGTGGACCATAGTTTCTTCCCGCTTTTCTTTCAAGTGGTTTTTCTAGAATGGCTTGTAACATTTCCGATGATGTATAATAATTAAATGGTACATTGACAACTGTCCATGCTTCTGTATTCAACGATTGTAATTTGTCATTAACAATGACAGTTTTACCTTTGAAAAATAAACATCCCTATTAAGTAAGTTTATTTAACTATTAATAGTCTTTACTTACCACTTCCTGCGCCACCAACTAACATGACAGGATAGCCACGTTCCATTAATAAATCTAATATATAAATAATTTATTTTCATCAGTATTATAATAATTATAATAATACGACTTACCCATCCAGTATCGAATTCGAACCGTTTCATTTGTAGGTACTAAAGCAGATTGTAACGGAATGTCTGGATCTAATTCAAATTTTGGCACTTTTTTACTCCATAATTCAAATTTTTTTGTTTCTGGATCAATATAAAAGTCGAAGACGGTTGTATTGGGTAATACTGGAAATTTAATTGTTTTAAATTCGGTTAACCACCAACGACTAAACTCAATTCGATGATCAACAAGCTAGGAATAAAATAAATGACTCTTTTAAACAAATAACAGTACTCATATGTAGAACAATAGCGGGCTAGCGAGCTACAGAAGCAATCAATTTGTCTTTCTACAAATTTAAAAAGCAGAAGGAAAATTTTCTACGACCATCAGCAACATAAATCAGCTAAGCCCCTACAACGAATCAATCAACCAACATAGGAAGAAAGTTTAGAGCCACTAAAAGTCTTCTTTCTTTTTTTTCATTGAGACAGTGACAATAAATTGTCCAGCAAAGAGAACATTGGTTGTTAATTACTTCTATTCTGCTTATAGTAAAGTACATACAACTATTAATCAATTGATGAACAATATACTGTTCTAACGAAAGCTTTTACTACTAAACTTACATGCGATATTAAAGGTGTAAGCTAAAAATTAATGTGCACATAATTTATTCATAGATAAAATGAAATAAATATTTCATTCGAATACTTAAATGAAAGTTGGTAGTGATTTCACTAATGTGACCTTTATACGTTAATGAAAACAAAATTTATTGTCATACTAAAGTATGTGCTAAATATTGTTCTAAAAATTCTTAGTGTTTGCTTAATTTTAACTCAAATAAAAATAAAATGATCTTACTTGATCCTGGAACAGAGCAGCACCCATTGCCCAAATACATGCCCACACAAAATATTGTTCATATTGTTCTTTTGATGAATCTGGTGGCATATTTTCTGGTGTTAGTAGACATTCAAGTAAATGACACAACATCCATACATGACAACCATCGACTAATGGAGTTATTTTCTTGAAACGATTTGACTTCAACATATCCATACAAATTGGTAAATATTTGTCAAATAATATCTGTAAATTTGCTCGTTCACTTTGAACTTGTCGTAGATCTATCCATGATGCAACTTGCGCACCCCAGCCAAGATCTTGAGGATTAATGTACAAAATACCAGCTCTGGAGACAGTAGCTGGTGTTGCTGTTCTTAGATGACTAATTTCAAATAACAATCTCATTGTTGCGTTCAACGGTACACGTTCATTGCTAGCCAATGTAAGTACTTTATTATCATCCATAACAGTATTTAAACTTTCAATCCACATTGGATCGATATCACCATCAAGCACAATCCATTTAGGACCATCTTGTGTCATATTGGCCATATCACGCATAACAGTGGAAAATAGACCTACAAAACATGAGAAAAGTTCCATTATATTTTATTTTAAAACTCATTTAATCCTATTTTACCGTCTTTCCATTCACGCGTAGATGGATTCATAAAACCAAACAATTCATTATTTGATACAGCTTTTGGATCTAAATCAATTGCAACTGGACGACGTTTTTGATTTGTATACGTTCGATTTAATGTTTTCCATATTTGACTTTTGCCTGTTCCAGCATTTCCCACAATAAATACTGAATGTCTTACTTCAAATAATTCTTTCAATTGAACAACTTTTAAAACAAAAGAATCTTCTGGTTGTAGTTTAAGATCTAATGCGGCTTTTTTCACTTCTTCTTCAAATTTTACATCACGTTTTCTTGGAACATCAAATGCTGGAAATAAATCACCAATTAAACCCATAAAAATTGGTAAATCATCGTGAACTATTTTTGGTATGTTAAAATCACGTAATGCACGCATTAATACTTCTCGTTCGGGACGATCAGGATCAGCACGTCTTAGTGCTCCAGCAACTACTAACACGGATTTTACCGCTCGAAGACCCCAATCATAATGATGCTAAAAGAAGACGATATATATTTTTAAATTTTCTCATTTATGGTTACAATTGACTAACCTGTTTTGATAACAATTCTTTACATAAATTGTACAATGTTATAAATTTACACGATAATAATTTTCCATCTTTAAAACCTGATGTCACTAACATAATTTCACAAATCATTTCGATATCAGGTACGACCATAGCACATGGACGAAACAAGGCTTTCAAATTTTCTGGTAGTTCAGTACGACCAGCATATCCAGGATTCATTGTAATAAATAAACCAACATTTGGATTTAAAGCAATATCTGTTCCCATAAAATTGAAACGTGATTTTTTATCTCTGATAGCATCTTGAATAGTTTTGACTTGAACAGCAACCACGGATAATACTTCAACCGATATACGATTAAATTCATCAAAACAACCCCAAGCACCCGTTTGTGAGAGACCTTTGTAGATGTTTCCGATTGATTTATAATCCATTTGTTCCGAACAATTAAAGACATAAACCATCACACCTAATGCTCGTCCAAGATCTTTTGTTGTCTCCGTTTTACCAGTTCCTAACAATTTAATTTGTTCTCATTCAATCTTTTTATGATTATGAGATAATTAAATTGACTTACCAGCTGGTCCTGCAGGTGCACCACCCATTACCAAATGCAATGATTGTGTTAGTGTTATGTAACATCTAGAACAGATATCGAAAAATAGAGAAGAAATAGAGTTCTACACCGAAGAGTATATACACACCTATCTGTTAATGGTGTAATAACTAATCGAGGTTGATTTCCTAAATATTCATGTGCATAACGGAATTGAGCATCACAGATATTAGCAAAACAATCTTTTTCTCTTTCATCCCATCGATGACGCAACTGACATTGCCAGAGAAATTCATTAGCACTTTCAATCTAAGAAACAAATAAATCCATAATTATTCATAATTAAAAAGTAATTTGGCATACCTTCGCCTGGACCATTTTTGCCACAACATCTCTTGCATGTACATCAATTGTACAAATAGTTTCAATTTTTTGTCGTTCTAATGGTGGTAAATTGGTTAATAACAATTCAATAAGAGCGTTTAATTGAGCAACGGCTTTTTTGAAATAGTCTTTTAATCCACTTTCATAACCTTCTTCAAGGCGAGCAAATGCTGAATTCACCTCCGACGTCCACCATATTTGACTTCCAGTCAAGGCTAAAAGAATATATATATATCTTTAAATAACATTGGATTTATATGACAACTTTCTCATTACCTATTTGTGCTGGATAATCGAATACCCATTGTTCTCTTGGTTTGTCTTCATAAGCATTGATTGCTTCTGATAACCAATATCTGACTGTTTCACGCATTTTTTCTAACAATCTATTGAGCCAGCTTTCCACTTGACCGTTGAGATCACACGATGATGGAAAATCGACCTTTTCCGATTCTTTTGAATACATTGCAACTGCTTCTTTTATTTTATTACCCTGTTTATCCTCAAGTAATTCAAGACTTGCTATGGAATCAAATAGTTTACTTAGATGACGCATGACTTTTTCTGGTACATTGCCATTTGATAGAATATCCAATAATTCAGCGGGTGAAACGAAATAAAATCTAAACTATAGAGTTTTAAAACTGTCTGTTTGATAAATTATCGAGATTTACCTTGGAAATGCTAAACGTTTTGTTTCCAAATATTCTGCCAATGCTTTCTCACATAAAGCTAAACGTGCTTTAATACTTTCAAGCTCTTCATAGGCTTTTGGACGATTTGTACAACGTATAACATTCAAATCTCGTGTATTCTCTTCTGCAACATGCTGCACAAAAAAAAAGAATAAAGATGAAATGTTTTAGATAAATAAAAAGTAGAGAAAAAAAAATTACTTTAAAATCACGATCAAT